ATTTATTTTTAAATATTAAAAAGGTCTCTTTTTAAAGATTGAATTTAATTTCATTTAAAATTTCCAGGTTTTATAGCCTGTCATTTTCAGCTTTTTCAGGGTATGCACATTTCCTCTGTTTATGAAAAAAAATTACTAAGGAAGGAAACTTCATAAGAAACAGTTTTAGCTCATCTTTGCGAAGTTATTAAATTTGAAAGCTGCTCTTTGTGCAGAGGAATCATTCCAGGAAGTTTGAATTCCCTTTTATTCGGCAGTAGCTACATAGCTAAAAACTTTCAACTGTGTATGTTGTTGTTAGGTGCCGTCAGGTCTGTTCCAACTCGTAGGACTGTATATATGGCTCTTCTGTTAGGTTCCTCCTGCTGCATAACAAACCACTCCAAGACTTAGTGGCTTAAAATAACACACTTATTAATTTTGCTCATAAATCTGCAATTTGTTCAGGACTCAGTGAGGATAGTTTGTCTCTGCTTCTTGTGGCATCATCTGGGGTGACTGTACTGGGGGCTGGATGATCCACTTCCAAGGTGGCTGACTCACGTGGCAGGCACATTGGTGCTGGCTGGTCACCTAGCTCAACTGGGCAACAGTCCAGGGTCTGCAGTTCTTCTTTCCTCGGGCCTCTCCAAAGGCTGCTTGGGCTTTGTTACGCCATGGTAGCTGGGTTCTAAGAGTGATTATTCCAAAAGAACCAGGGGGAAGCTCTGTCACCTTTTATGACCTAGTCTCATCAGTCACATAGTGTAAGTTCTGCCTTAGTCACATGCAGATGCAAGCTGAGAGAACATAAACTCCACCTCTGAACTTTGAATGTAGAGTAACATGGCAGATTTCATACCAGTGGGTCCTTATTGACCTCTAGAGCTGTTTCTCTGCCCACTGAGCAACAAGTTAAGCTGAGCCACCAGTTTCCATAAACAGAAAAGTATGGCCACTAGGACAGCCACAGAATGATTTACACTGGCAAGAATGGCTCCAGGGATGTGTACTGTATTTCTGTGTTTTCTGTAGTAGATTTTTCTCCACTGGACCACTGTTCTCTTACAGTATTGTGGAAATCTGATCCTTCCACTACTCAGCAGAGGACCTTAAACGTCCTTCAACTGCCAGTTAAAATTTGGTTTTTACAGTAATTTGAACATTTGAGTTTCTGTAAGCATACCTGAATTTCATACATCTGGATTTAATAGAAAGCTGACATTTGTCACCATGTTCAGGCAATTTATTGAATAGTAACAGTTTAAGGTAATGCATGTTTGTGCTTAGCAATATATACATTTCATACATACTGTTTGTATAGAGGCCTGTGTGCAGGGTGGCCTAGTGCGGGTACGGGAGCATACACAAAGCCATTAACATTGTGTGTGTTTAGCACGGACATCAAATAATCAGAGTTAATCTCTGCCCCAGTGTAAAGTAGTTTGGCCCCTCTGAAATGTCACCAAAGCTAAGCTCCCTTATCTTGAGTTTTATTGTTTCGTTTGATTATTTCAAATGGTTTCTAACCATTTTATTCAACTTCATATGCGAGTAGAACAATTCTTTTCACTTTGAATGTCCCTTCATGTCTCAGGTGGCATTTCAAGCCTTTAGCCTTCTCTGTAATGGTCCCTGTTTTGTAGAACCCCATAATTACTGTAATGAAATTCTTTATTTGCTCTACTTCTGCTTATGCTATTTGTAATAATTTTCAAATAGGGTTTCTGCTCTAGTGTAGCAAATTCATATTTGAAACGCAAATTAATAGCATAAACAAGATTGCTGGTATTTCTGCAGCATTGTTTACATAAATACCGCAATGCTTATTTTTTAGTTTTTAAATCATCAGTAGGTGTTGAAGTGGCGTCCCGGGGTGGTGCAAATGGTCAGCAGGCTTGGCTGCTAACAGAGAGGTTGACCATTTGAGTCCACCCAGAGGCACCTCAGAAGAAAAGCCTGATGATAGACTTCCGAAAGTCAGTCCTTAAAAACCTCTGTGCAGCACGGTTCTGCCTTGACACACGTGGTAGAATTTAAGTAGATGACCTGATTACTTCAGGGTAGCTTGAAAATAATACAACTAAATGTCAGTAAGACTTGCAGATTCACCCTAGTTCCTCACCGCTCTCCCAGTTAGTCGAAGCTAGATTAGCACTGCCAGTTCTTCCAGAGAAATAGACCAATTCATGTGCAGATTGCCCCCCCCCAAAAAAAAGAAGAAGGTTTAATTCTGGGATTAAAGTATAACATCAAAAATGAAACAGATACTTAGCATGTTTAAGAATAGTACAACTTAAAAATCTGAATTGTTGAAACTTTTTCAAGTCAAAAGAATATTTAAATCAGCCTATATTTATAATCCCTTAAAAATAAAGTCCTTAAAGTATAACAATAAGATAAAGGAAAAAAAAAAGTTCTCTCTGCTCTTCAACTACTCTCTCCTGCAGAAAGAGACCCCAGGCAGGCCACGTTCACCCAGCACTGTGCGTCTGGAGTTAGAGATTTTCTACTTGCTTTCCCTTTGTCTCTCCTGCCTTTTGCCATGGAGTACACAGAGCCAGTTAGCCTGTAAAAGCTCTTTTATTACACTTAAACTGCTGGGCTAGAAATTATATACACTTTTTTTTTTTAAATTGTACTTCAGGTGAAGAAGGTTTTCAGAACAAATAGTTTCTCATTAAACAGTCAGTACACGTATTGTTTTATGACATTGGTTAACAACCCCATGACATGTCAACCCTCTCTCTTCTCGACCTTGGAGGACCTTTTTTTTTTTTTTTGGTGAAAATATTCATAGCCAAAGATACACTGTTTCAAAAATTTCTACGTGTACACTTCAGTGACATCAATTACATTTTTCCAGTTGTACTGCCATTCTCACTATCCCTTTCCACATTATTCTGTCACCACCATCTTCAACTCACTGCCCCCAGGCTTCCCATCAAACCCCCTGAGTTGCTGTTGTCAATTTGATCTCACATAGATAATTCTTTTTTTGTTTGTACTTTAGGTGAAGGTTTACAGAATAGTTTCTCATTAAACAGTGCACATATTGTCCTGTGACAATGGTTAACAACCCCACAGCATGTCAACACTGTCCTTTCTCAACCTTGGGTTCCCTATTGCCAATTTTCCTGTCCCCTCCTGCCTTCTAGTCCTTGTCCCTGGAACTGCTGTGCCTCATTAGTCCTGTTTTGTTTTACGGGGCTGTCCAATCCCTGGCTGAATGGTGAACCTCGGGAGTGACTTCACCACTGAGCTAAAAGGGTGTCCGGGGGCCATACGGTGTTTCTCCAGTCTGTCAGGACAGTAAATCTGGTCTTTTTTTGTGAGTTAGAATTTTGTTTCTACATCCTTTTCCAGCTCTGTCCAGGACCCTCTATTGTGATCCCGGTCAGAACAGTCAGTGGTGGTAGCCAGGCACCATCTAGCTGTACTGGACTCAGTCTGGTGGAGGCCGTGGTAGCTGTGGTCCATTAGTCCTTTGGACTAATCTTTTCCTTGTATCTTGTTCTCTTCATTCTCCCTCGCTCCCTAAGGGGTGAGACCAGTGGGCTATCTTAGATGGCTGCTCACAGGGTTTTTAAGACCCCAGATGCTACTCACCAAGGTAGAATGTAGAACACTGTCTTTATAAACTGTGTTATGCCAGCGGAGTTAGATGTTCCCCAAAACCGTGGTCCCCAGAGCCTTGAGGAGCAGTTTTGCTACTCACTTTGATTAACTTAAAAATTAAACATATCATTTCTACCCATCTGTGCTCACTTTTCATTTTCAGTACAAATTAGAACTCCCACTTGGAAGCACAATTTTTTGTTCTGGACTCTTATCTTTTCTATTCCTGATTGAAACTGCAGTCTTGCGATGATAAAAGATTATTCCACAAATGTGCTAAGTAGTGTTTTAGCTTGAACTTAGCCCTACTTGGTAGATGCTATTAGTGTTTCCATGTAGAGGGGAGGAAACTGAGGCAAAAAGTAATTATTCACGAGTTTCTTAGCTGATCAAGTAGTGGAGTTGAGAGATTCAGGCGTTCACACCCGGACTCAGCGGCTTCTTTGGAGTCTGTCCATGAGATTTCCCTCCCTCAGTAAGCACCTTTCCTGGTGCACAAGCCTTTTCAAGGCCTAAAGTTTGTCTGCTTAGTCTCTCACGCTTCCTAATGCTTTTCTCTAAAACTGCTTCTATACAATACTCCCTTTTAGTATTATTTTTATCCTCCCCTGCCAATCCTCTTCTAGTTAACTTCTTTCAACATTTAGCAGCCATTTCACTCATATTGGCAATAGGTAAACCCAACAGAATTATAAAGTTATTTTGTAACTGACTAGCAATTCTTACAAGCTTCCATATCAAAAACATACACTTTTTTTATTTATAGTATGTTTATTATTAGACTAAGTTATGTTCATTGACTCATTAGCATCATAAAGCATTAGATTTGAAAAAGAATTTTAGAAAACTGGGTTTTATTACTAACATTACTTAATGTATGTTATTTTCTTTTTTAAGGTCTCTCTTTAGATTAAAAAAAACTCCGAAGAAAGATCATAACGCTTAGTAATGATCTAGCAATAACTCTGGTAGTTTATATGCCGACTAGGCTTTTCTGAAGCTGTAATAGCCTTACAGTTGTTTCATTGTAACAATTTCAGTTTATCCCCATGGTTTCAGTTAAGTTTGGAATTCCACCACATATGTTATTCTTTCTATTTAGCTATTTAACTTTTAATTATTTCATTATTTGTGCAAACCAGAGTGAGTATCTTGAAATACTGGTGAAAAGAAATACCTGTCCATACTCTTCTGTTCGTGATGAGTCCATAATCCCTGTCAAAAACCAGGTACCACTGTGTTCTCTCATAACGATGCTTCCCTCCACCCACGGCCTGGCTACCAATTCACTCTTCTCACAATACATCCTTGTTGTGACTGTCACATTAAGTACTTCTTCACATTCGTCACCATCAAGATATGTAACTGGCAGCTTCACTAGTGAGTCACCTAATTCAGTCCCATTGACTGTCCAGCCGCTGACAAGGCCCACTTTGCCTGGAATGAGAACGTGTTCCGCAAAGTCCTTTTCAGGCATGCAGATGGGAAGCCTGTTGCTGAGGCACTGGACTGGTTCCTCCAGCTTTAACAGTGACAAGTTATTTTCTCCGGTGTCTTCGTTATACCTCATGTGCACATGAATTTTCTTAATCGTCAGTAGGTCATTACTCGTTCTGTTAAAATCTGAAATAATGAACAATCACCAGTTGTTTTAAGTCTGGTTTTCGAGGTTGAGATAATTGGAAGATGATTTCTCTGTGAACCGTGTTACCAAGCAGAGGCTTAGTATGACAGATACCAAGAACGAACCATTATGACCTCTACTCACGTTGTCTTTAAAAAAAAAAAATTGAAGTAAGTTCTGTAGAGTCTTTTTTTTTTTTTTTTGGAGGAGGCGGTAGGGGGAATACAATGGAGTTGAGTGAAATGTTCAGAAAGTAGGAAGAAATCATGAGAAACTTCTCCAAGCAAATCAAGATTATGCTATTTAGAAGTAGGCTTTCAGGCTGACATTTTATTGATTGAAAATTATTTAAGGATGATGAGTGAAAGCATATTTTAAGGTTCTCCAGATTCATAAGCTAGCAATCATATGGTGTTTATAGAGCACTTTTGAAGGTTACTATTATTTAACCTTTATAACATCTTTATGGGATGGAAATTATTGCCCATTTTTTAATAGATGAGAAAATAGGCACAGCTAAGTCAGGTAATAAGCCCAGGGACACATCGCCCACAGTCACATATGGTGGAGGGGAAATTTGAAGCCAACTTTTCTGACTTTGAGCTAGTTATCTCTTATACCACACCTGCTCCATTTCAGTGTCAAATGAAGTTATATTTTTATAGGTTGTGATTTCTTTCTTATACTAAAGATCAGTTAACATTTGCCTACTTACTCTGCCCAGACATTCTGCTAGGTGTTTTACATATACTTTCTGATTATATAATAAGTATCTCAGTATTGTTAAAGCTAAATTCAGTCTGTCTTGCATTAGAAACAGTTTTTAAATTTTCATTCTTACACAGGATAATTTTCATCTCCAATGTGATGTTATTAAAATTCATGAAAATACTTACTTGTCGTCACAACAATATTTCTATGCATGAGTGAACATTTTGCTGTTGTCAGGACAAAATTTTCCCGTATTATAACACCACCACAGAAGTCTTTTCCTTCGGAATTTGTTAATTTTACCTTTAAAATACAAAACAGACAATTGCTAGTGACAATGTGGAGGATTAGGAGGCAGTATAGTGTAGTGGCTAAAAATAATATGCTCCAGAGACACATGACTGGTGTCTAAATCCAGAATGGCCACATGATCTTTAATAAATCACTGACAATTTAAGCTTTGGTTTGCTCAGCTATAATATGGAGCTGATCCTTCTGCTTCAGGCCAAGGTGGAGTAACAGGGATCAGATTTACCCTCCCATCTGAAACAATTAAAACAACAACAACATACATGAACCAGTGGTTTTTAAGACACTGGACATCAGGCAACAAAGGACAGTAGTCTCTGAGAGAAGAGTGCCTCATTTTACTGCCTTAAGAGAGTTTCCATGCCACAAGGAGGGAAGGGGTAACCTGGGCAAAAGCCAGCATGCTCCCTGAATTGAGATAGAGCTGAGAGCCCAGGAAGATCTAGGTGGCTAGAGTTTGCAAGACAGAACACTGGAGAGGAGAGAGCTTTATAGAGAAAGAACTCGAGATCTGCGCTAGGTCTCCCTTTTCAGCAGAGTAGCGATGAGCACGTGCATGTGAGGAAACTACTAAGGTCAGAAAGAACCACCCAAAGGATTGGAGGGAGCACTCACATAGGGCTGGAGTAGTACCCGCTTCCCCAGCTGCACTGGGAAACCTCATGATTCATGAGGTATTGAGGAGAACACACAGAAAGGTCTTGCCTCAGTAGTTATTCTAGGGAATAATTATCCTGAAACTCAGTACCACTCTGGTCCCACTTAGCTAATGAATCTTAAAAGCAATATCCCAAAGGATCAAACTATTTCCTAGTTCTTAACTGCATCCCAGAACAAAACTCAAGAATATAGAATATAAAAATACACACCACCTAACGACAAAATTCACAATGTTTGGCAACAATTTAAAGATAACCAGGCATGCAAAGAAGCAGGAAAATGTGACCCGTAATGAGAAAAACCTATCAAAATACCCAGAATTGACAGAAATGTTAGAATTAGCAGATAAGGACAATAAAACAGTTATAACTGAATTATAAATATTCAAATAGTTAAATGGAGATACAGAAGATACTAAAAAAAAAAAGACCCAAATTAAGCTTCTAGAGATGAAAACTACTATTAAAAATACAGTAAATGGGATTGATAGCAGATTAGACACTACAAAAGAAAAGATTAGTGACATTGAAGATACAGAAACTATCCAAAATGAAACACAGAAAAGGAAATTTAAAAATAAACAGACCATTACTGAGCTGTGGGACTTAAGTGGCTTAATGAGTAACTGTAGATACTGAAATGGGTGGGGGTACAGGAAAAATATTTGAAAAACTAATGGCCAAAATTTTTCCAAATTTGATGAAAACTATAAACCCAAAGATCCAAGAATCTCAACAAATCCTAAGCACAAGAAACATGAAAAAAACTACAGCAAGACAAATAATTAAAATCACTCAAAACCAGTGGTAAGGAGAAAATGTCAAGGACAGCCCAGGGGTGGGGGGAGACATGTACAGCAGACTAAAGACAATGATGACAATAGATTTCTTTTGAAAACAAGGTAAGCAAGAAGACAATGGAACGACATGTTTAAAGTACTGAAAGGAACAACCTGTCAACCTAGAATTCTATACCCAGATAAAATATCTTTCAAAGGTGAAGGTGAAGTAAAGACTTTTTCAGAAATACCATGCTGAAAGACTTCATTAGTAGCAATGTTGCACCACAAGAAAATACTAAAGGAGTCCTTCAGGCAGAAGGAAACTGATACCAGATGGAAATACGGTACACAAAGGAATGAAGAGCTCTGGAAATGATAACTACAATCCATTAAATATGTAACTACATTTCAGTCTATATGTAAGATTTTTTTCCTTATTATTTAAACCTTTTATCAGGATAACTTGTTTAAACAAAAATAATAAAAATGTAGTAGTTTGAAACATACATGGAAGTAAAATGTTTGACAACAATAGTACAAAGGTCAGGAGGGGACAAACAGGAGTGTACTGTTGTAAGGTTTTTATACTGTAGTGAGGGAGTGTAATATAAGTTAAAAGTGGAGTAGACTGTGATAAAAATGTATACTATAAACCCTAAAGCAATCATTAAATAAAACAGAATTATAGCTAATAAGCCAATAAAGGAGATAAAATGGAATCATATATTTGATTAATCCAACAGAAAGCAGAAAAGGGGAAAAGAACAGAGAAAAAGAGAAAAGAAATAGCAAGGTGATAAATTTAAATCTAACCATATCAATAGTAACAGTAAATATAAATAGTCTAAATACCCTAATTAAAAGGCAGAGATTTGTCAAGTTGGATAAAAAAAACAAGACCAATTATACACTACCTATAAAACATGCACTTTAAATATAAAAATACAAATAGGTTCAAGGTAAAAGATTGAAAAAAGATATACCATGCTAACATTAATCAGAAGAAAGCTGAAGTGTCTGTATTAATACCAGACAAAGCAGGTTTCATAGCAAAGAATATTACCAGGAATGTAATATAGAGAAAATAAGAGGTTATTGTGAGGATTAAATGAAATAAAGCATGTACCCACATAGTGAAGGTAGTAGCTCAAGAAATTTTAATTATGATTTTACGTAGAATAATAAAATGGAAAATGCCTACAGGAGTATAAGAAAGTTTTTCAAAAACTTTTAGCCTCATTTTTTGAAATATTAGTGTTTATTAATAATAGTTGCCATTTATTGAATATCTACCACAAGTTAGGTACATTATCTTTAATTTCTACACATCTTTAATCCTCACTACAACTCCGAAGGGTATTAGTATCCTCATTCTATAGACGAATGAAACCAAGTTTGAGGAAAGATGGCATTTGTAGCATTAGTCTACTAGACTTTTAGTAAAATGAAATGCAGCTGAGTGACCCATTTCTTACTTAGAATGTAAGAAAAAAATAACTTCTAAAACTAATTTTCAACTCTATATATTACTAAGTCAATTCTCTTTTTCAAAGTTTTATTGAAAAATGTGTTGTTGTTAGGTGCCATCGAGTCAGTTCTGACTCCTAGTGACCCCCGTGCACAACAGAACCAAACCCTGCCTGGTCCTGCGCCATCCTCACAACTGTTGTTATGCTTGAGCCCATTGTTGCAGCCACTGTGTCAATCCATCTTATTGAAGGTCTTCCTCTTTTTCGCTGACCCTCTACTCTACCAAGCAGGATGTCCTTCTCCAGGGACTGATCCCTCCAGATAACACGTCCGAAGTATGTGAGATGAAGTCTTGCCATCCTTGCTGGTAATGAGCATTCTGGTTGCACTTCTTCCAAGACAGATTTGTTCTTTCTTCTGGCAGTCCATGGTATAGTCAACATTCTTCGCCAGCACCATAATTCAAAGGCATCAATTCCTCTTCGGTCTTCCTTATTCATTGTCCAGCTTTTGCATGCATATGAGGCAATTGAAAACACCATGCCTTGGGTCAGGTGCACCTTAGTCCTTAAAGTGACATCTTTGCTTTTTAACACTTTAAAGAGGTCTTTTGCAGCAGATTTACCTAAGGCAATGCATCCTTTGATTTCTTGACTGCTACTTCCATGGTCGTTGATTGTGGATCCAAGTAAAAAAATCATTGACAACTTCAGTCTTTTCTCCATTTATCATGGTGTTGCTTATTGGTCTAGTTGTGACGATTTTAGTTTTCTTTATGTTGAGGTGTAAACCATACTGAAGGCTGTCGTCTTTGATCTTCATCAGTAAGTGCTTCAAGTCCTCTTCTCTTTCAGCAATCAAGGTTGTGTTATCTGCATATCACAGTTTGTTAATGAGTCTTCCTCCAATCCTGATGTTGTGATCTTCTTCATATAGGCCAGCTTCTCAGATTATTTGCTCAGCATACAGATTGAATAAGTATGGTGAAAGGATACAATCCTGATGCACACCTTTCCTGACTTTAAACCATGCTGTATCCCTTTGTTCTGTTTGAAAGACTGCCTCTTGTTCTATGTACAGGTTCCTCATGAGCACAATTAAGTGTTCTGGAATTCCCATTCTTAGCAATCTTATCCATAATTTGTTATGATTCACACTATCGAATGACTTTGCATAGTCAATAAAACACAGGTAAATATCTTTCCGGTATTCTCTGCTTTCAGCCAAGATCCATCTGACATCAGCAATGACATCCCTTGTTCCACCTGCTCTTCTGAATCTATCTTGAATTTCCGTCAGTTTTCTGTTGATGTACTGGTGCAACCACTTTTGAAATGATCTTCAGCAAAATTTTACTTGTGTGTAATATTAATGATATTGTTTGATAATTTCCCCATTCTGTTGGATCACCTTAGTATTGGAAACTTAGTACTGGAAAATACTACTTATTAATTCAATTAACTTCAGAGCTGTTTATAGTACTGGAATAAAAATTTAATAGGATTTTCCTTGCCTAAGTCAATATGTCTCCAAATATACTTAATTTGTTTTTATAGACTCCTCTTCTCATAGGTTATGGCCCTTAGCCTCATTGATATTAATGTTTCTTGTGTAGATTAAAATGGCAACTAATGTTCCCTTGAGTAGATAGGGAAACTGATACGAAGAAGATGTAATTGGTAGAGTTAGACCACCATCATCATTTGTTAAGGATTAACAGTGCACGTTGTGCCACTTATCCATCTATTCCATCCATATTCTGAGGCTTGCTTGAGCTCACTGGTGGGACAGAAAATGATAAAAAGAATGGAAATATTATTATTCGATGGACCTTAGAATACTTAAGGAGGAAAGGCAATAAAAGATAGAGAAAAAATTAATTAAGCTGATAATGAAATATATTCTGGCCTTTTGGCCCTTTCCATCATTTTACCTACTCTACCTTCATTGAACAGGCTCAAACACAGCAACGATTGTGAGGTTGGCACAGGACCAGGCAGTGTTTCATTGTGTTGTACTAGGGTTGCTATGAGTTGAAACTGACTAACGGCACCTAACAACAACCTTCGTTCAGTCTCTTTTAATTTCTAGTCTGGATTATTACAATATAGTCATTGAGCTGTGTTCGCTTCCCTATCTAGTTCTCCACACTGCTGCCAGAATAATTAAAAGCCTTCAGTGCAGACAATGTTTGAAATGCTTCCCCCCCCCACCCATTTAACACTCTTTAACAATACTACGACGTAGAAACTTGTGGCAGACTGCTAAGAATCTCCTCAAATCCATTTCCTTTTCTTCCATTGCAACGGAGTCTTTAGACGGACATAGGAATGTCTAGCTAGAGACTTTCTCTGCTTCCCTTGCAGCTGAGTTAGGCCATGTGAATAAGTTCTTAACAATGGAACGTGAGCAGAGACGATGTGTGCAACTTCCTTTTCACTTGCCTAAACAAAACTGGTTTCCCTGGACTTCTCTTACTTTTTCTGTGACTAGAACAAGGGCATGGCAGTGACCCAGCTTCAGTCATGCTAATGAAGACAAGCCCCTAGGTGATGGAAGAGCAGCAAAATAAAGCAGAGGTGCTCTGCAAGCCTGTACCAGGTGACTGAGAATCTTTTTATTTAATCCACTTCGTGTCTTCGTTTCACACATGTAGCCTCTACCCTGACTAATGCAATACTATTATATTTTTTATTTTACCGATGAGGACACTGAGACAAAGAGACGAAATGATTTTTCCAAAGATCTAAGGTCACATAGCTAGTAAGTCATAGAGCTGGATTTCAACCCAGGTAGTCTCACTCCAGTGCCCTGCTCTTAGCCACTATATTGGAATGTGAGAGCACTTCTTTCTGGATAAACAAGAGTTCACAGATTCCAGAACATAACAAAACCCAAGATAGGTAAATAAAAAGAAATTTGCACCTAGTCATAGCGTGTAGCAAAATGGAGGAATTCCAAATACAAAGAGAAGATATTAAAAGCATCCAGAAAGACGTACTGCCTATGGAGGAAGAGTCATTAGACTGACAACCAACTTCTGCATAGCATCAGTGGAAGCTGTAAGACATTGAAATAGTATCTTCAAGAGCTAGTAGGAAAAACATCAGCTTAGAACTGTATGCTTGGAAAAACTGTTTTTTAAGAATCGGTGAAATGTAAATAAAGACATTTTCATAAAACAAAAACTTAAATGATGTATGACTCACAGGCCCTCATTAAAGGAACTTCTAAAGCTGTGTTTTCCACTATAGTAGGTAGTCACTACCACAAGTTATTGAGCATTTGCAATGTAACTGGTCCAAACGGAGATGTGCTGTAAGTGTAAAACACACACCGGAGTTTGAAGATATAGTATGAAAGGAAAAGAATATAAACATCTCTAATGTTTATTGTAATTACACATTGAAATAATATTTGTATATACTGGGTTAAATGAAATATATTATCACAGTTAATTTTACTGGTTTTTACTTTTATTTGTGTGGCTACTGGAATATTTTAAATTACATATGTGGCTTGCATTGTATTTTTATTGGATAGGGCTCTTCTAAACGATGTATTTCAATGAAAGAAAATGATCAGAAAAGGCCTGAGGTGCAAGGAAAATGGAAAACGTGGGAAAATCTAAACCAATATTGGTGGCATAAAACCACAATAATATCTATTTTATGGAGTTTAAAAAAAGACAAAAAAAAAAGAATAAAATGCTGATCAAAATAGCAGGTGAGCCTAGAGTGAAGTACTTGAAATTATTTAGGAGGAGGGTAAATATACCAATTATATATTGCTACATCATATATGCATTTCAAAAATTAAGAGTAACTATTAAATAAATAGAAATAGTGTTTAACTTTTAAATCAGTCAAAGGGGAAAAGAGGAAAATAACAAAAATGAATGCCAAAGAGAAAATTTAGTGATCAAAACAATGGAGATGGAATTCAGTCCAATTGGTTTTGGAGGAGAACCTTAACCACTGGGCCTTCTGCTTCGGAGATGGTTGCACAGCAGCTATGCAAAGCGCAGTGGGTACCATGTCAGAGTGGGTTACAAATCGAAGTGTTAATATGAGCCAGTGCCTTCAGGATGTTTATATTCTAAGAAAAATGGCATTGGTCACAGCTTTTGAGTACATCGGAAAGGTCCTGGGTGGCTGTAAATAATGCTGTAATTTTTGGAGCAAATAGTGAATTTGCTGAAGTTGTGAATTCAGCGTTAGAAAGTGCTTTGAAAATGTGATATAGAGTATTAGTAAATAGTTCACCTAAATCATGATGTCTGTTTTACTTAGTCATTACATTTCTATGTGGCAAAGGTAAAGAACAAGTAAGGTGATATCTGTAACATAAAATTAAAACACATTAAAAAAGCTTTTTTTCTGTTACCTGCCACGGGAAATTTTGAAGATCCTGGCTGCTTTTCTTTAGTGTCATGATGCATTCAGAATTCAGGATTCCACACGCACACTTCTCTTCATTTGTGATGACAAAATGAGAAGAAAAATCAGTACCTTCCAAGTCAAACATCAGGCTGTATTCATGTTGCTAACTATTGAAGTCTTAGTCCTTAATGGTGATTATTTTGTGATAATTCATGCATAAATAAAGCATAGTGAAATTACCTACTATAGGTTACTTACCGTAGGTATTTACAGACTAACTCAGAAAATATAATTTGGGCAAGCCTAGTCATAAAAATAGCACTATTTTTTCTCGGGAGCCCCGGTGGCACAGTGGTTAAGAGCTTTGTTGCTAACCAGAAGGTCGGCAGTTCGAACCCACCAACCGCTCCTTGGCTCAATGGTAACGGGCTTGGTTTTGGTTTCCTTGCTGCTCTAACATGGAGGCAAGGATTACAGGTTGAATTATAGCTGCTCTTCCTTACAAAAAGAAGACGTGGCCTTTGAAATTTTATTACAGAAGAAGTAGGGGATGGGAGTTGACAGTTGCAGAAATGAGGCTACTTTTTCTCATTTGAGAACTTACCGTTTGGAATGCACGATTTGCCATCTGCACCAAGTTGATAACCCTTAGCGCAAGTGCACGTATAGGATTCCTGTCCTGGATGGCAAAAATGTTGACATCCGTCAGCCCTCTCTGGGTGACATTCATTTTTAGCTGAAAAGGAAAAAAATATATTACAAAAATGCTAATATGGAAAGACAGTCATTTTTATATTTTCCTTGCACATTGGTGTTCTGGTTTTTCAGTCCAAATGTTCTCATTCTTTCCAGATTGGTGGTTCTTCATATAAACATTTCGCACATTTTTATATTTCGGGAATGTGCATGGGGAAATCAAAGGTTTAGTGAGCGACAACCCTTTTATGTGTCCTTACAAAATTTAACTTGATCTCAGATGTATTTCCTGTCTTGGGATCTACTACCAGTTTTTTTTTCCAAAAGCTGAAAATTTGTTATTCCTTTCTTTCTGTGATACAGCAATTATAGGGTCATTGAACTGGAAGTAGCTTTGAGAAGCTATTTTGTAAGCCTATTGGCTATAACTGTTGAGTGGAGATGGTTGGCTGATCCTTTCTCTAGGGATGGGAATTTCTTGACTTCAGTCAGATACCCAGTCAGTATTTTAATACTGTGGCAGTCAAGGAATTCTTCCTAATGTCAGTTTAGTCTGTGTATACCTAAGAGAAAACTATTGAAAAGGCCTCAAATGTATCAGTGAAAAGAAAACAGATTATTAGAAAGAACAGCCATGCTGAGCACTGGCCACCATCCTGGTAACCATTTCACCTGAAATCTCACATGGAAAGAACTGTTTAAACCATGTTTGCCCAGCAGAGCACAGGGGGCAGATGCTCCCGAAGGTTACACTGGCCTTTGGAGGTTTAATCTGAAACCCCTAGGATTCTGCTATTCTTTTGGAGTACACAGATTCTAAGAATTTGCTTTGCTTTCAGAATATTCTTTGCTTTCTTGCTTGAGCAAATAAACAGGTTTCCAATCATATTAATTATTAAGAAAAATAACATGCTTAGGGCGGACAGATGTGCTCTTGAGGAACTGAAGGCTAGTTTAAATGAGTTATGACTTGAATGCTTAGCGCACTGGACAAAAGTTGTTTAAAGATGGCCCTAGGAGAATACAAGCTCCTTGTGCCATCTTCCTACTGCCGTCGTGATTTCTCCCATCCTGACAGAGTGGAACCGCCCTGTAGGGTTGCCAAGGAGCAGCTGGTGAATTTGAACTGCCTACCTTTTGGTTAGCTGCTTGAGTTCTTAACCACTTCCCCACCAGGACTCCATAAATACGGATCACTTTTCCAGTGTTCTGGGTGTTGATAGCTACAACATAATGCTAACATATAATGTAACTTCAGTGGAGTTAACATCTTACGCACAGGCTTCATTCAAAAGTCAGCATGTAAAGTGAAAGTTACACACAGCCTTTTAAACTACTTGTACAATACACATGGTTTTGTGTATATGCATACATTGGTATGTAGAAAGTACATCATAATATGTAATATATAATATGCAATAAATCTGCAAATATAATTCAACTGTATTTTTATTTACATAAAATAGAATGTCTTGAGTTGTGTCACCTGATTTACACGCATGCATAATGAGACTCCACTTTAGGCGCTGGGCACCATTTTGATAAAGGCTTTACTGCATTATTTCGCTTGAAGGCTCACAACAGCCCTATCAAGCAAGTATGGTCACCCCCATTTCACGGACTAGGAAACCAAGACTTGAAGAGGTTTGGCAGTTTTCCTATGTCACACAGCCGAGATAAAGAGGAACCAGGATTCAGTGCCTGACCGCCTAGTCCCAGAGCTTGACTCTCGACCGCCGTAGGACACTGGATGGTCCTTGTGGGGCCCCAGAAAGCCCAGCTTTAGTCCCTGAAAACATCCCGTAGGAGCTGCTTTCACATTTCTCCCTTTTTCAGTAAGTTCAACCCACTAAAACGTATTACTTATTCATCTACTTATTGTGAAAAAGAACTTGCAATATTTTATTTGTTCACAGACTACAAAGAGAAGATGGCCAGTTTTCTAAACCAGGAAATACAGAAAGAACAGAATATTTATTAATTAGGATTCTTTCCGAAGTTATATTAAGAAGACAGCTATTAATTAAGAAGGTTTAGGCTCTGATTTATAACTATCAATATGTACAGGTGATTAAGAATCTCATTCTCTACTAAGGAATTCAGGATTCCAAGTGGATGTTATTGTTCTTGGGTGCCATCGAGTCAATTCTGATTTATAGTGACCGCATGTGACTGAGTAGAACTGCCCCGTAGGGTTTTCTTGGCTGTAATCTTTATGGAAGCAGAGCTCCAGGTCTTTCTCCTGCGGAGCCGATGGGCAGGTTCAAACCGCCAACCTTCAGGTTAGCAGCTGAGGGCTTAACCATTGCACCACCGGGTTTCCTTAAATGGACACTGGGCTGTGAAATTCAAGCATTTTTCTCTTACTGATTGGCATGAGCTATTAAATAACTTCGAGATCTTAGAAAAATATTTTAATTGACTAAAAAAAAGTGACACTTGAAATTAGACTTTTAATAATTTAGAATGTGACTAGAAAGCTCTAGTACACAAATTTGGAAGAAAAAGCCTCTTCTGATTCAATAGTCGTATATGTCTTTTCTTAGAACCTGCACACTTTCCAAGGTCAGAGCCTATGTAGTCTTCCTTGATGCTCTGTTCTATCAAGCTTTAGCACTTGTTTTCCTAGAAAGCAGAAAAACAGAAGTAGTAAATTTAAAGAGAATACTATTGTAGTGGGAAATGAAAGCCCACCATGAGTGAAAACATAAAACTAAAAAATTTGACAAATTCA